TGCAAATACCAGATAGTGTGACGAGCTGTTCCTGCCCAGCAGATGTGGCTTCTGCGTCCCAGGCCCGTGCCCCTCTGGACAGATGTGCAAATGCCGCGCAGAGAACGTGGCCATGGGCTGGCAGCCACCGAGCCCCTTCCACTGCATTTCCCCCGTGGTCGCTGCAGCGTGCCCGGGCCCACGGCCCACGTGGCTGAACCGTTCACCTTGCACCCATCTGTGCAACTCAGACCTGAACCTCTTTCTTTTTGGCACGTTGAGTGGACCATCTGCCTTTTCTTTTTTCCAGGTGAGTTAGAGCAGAGCTGGAAACGATGGCTGTGGCGCTAAGATGCTTGCGTCACCTGCCTTCCCTGCTTCCTCGGTCTTCATTCGCAATGCTGCGGGGACTGCCGCAGGCTCCTGCAGCCTGCCCAGCCCTGCTCCCGGATGGCTGCAGGCAGTCTGTCCATCAGAGGCTGCTGACCAGACAGCTAGCTACCAAAAAAGGTAACAGCAGCAGCCTTTTTCCTGGTGTTTGCAACCCCTCAGTATGTTGCCAGGATTCCTTTTCTTACCCCTTTTATCTCATGTGCCAGTATTGACCTAATTCGGGCAGAGCACAGCTGTGGAGGAGCTGCTTTGCCTGACGGTGTACAGGAGACCTGCGCCGCTCCCCAGCAGAGGTACCAGGTACCGCGTGGAGCTGCTGCTGCGCTGGGGCAGGCGGTAGCAATCGTCACAGTCCAGGCTGGAGTCAGTGCCCACAGTGTGACCCGCAAATATACTTCGGCTTTTGTGACCAAGTGCCGGGCTATTTACTCATTTAAAAACACAGTTATTTTGGTTTATCTTAGACTCAATTCTGAATCTGACAGGGGTTTTAATGTTTTCTTTCTACTTTCTAATGCAACAATTAACTGTTGTCAGAAATGGAAATTAATTTTATGTCTAATCTGCAGCTAAAGGTAAAGGGCAGAGTCAAACCAGAGTGAATATCAGTGCTGCCCTAGTTGAGGATATTATCAATTTGGAGGAGACCAATGAAGACATGCAGGCAGTGGTAGAAGCTCTGAAAGAAGATTTCGGCAGAAATCTCAGTGTTAGAACCTCACCAGGTTGGTAACTTTCTTGTTCTCTATCACCTGTAAATAAGGATACCAATCCTAGTAACGGAGAACTCTGACTTTTTTCACAATTTACTTTCTTTTTATTGAGTTATTCACTGGGCACCCGATTACTACAGCCTTGACGTCCCCAACTAAAGGCTTTCTTCACCCTGAGCTTGACCAGGAAGAATCCATTTTTGTTAATAGCTTCCTGGAAATAGCTTTTGTAAGTGGGAGATGTCAAAAGCGTCTAACTGAACTGTTTGCAGATGTGATGAAGAAGCAGGTTGTCAGCTAATGGTGCGGTAGGGCAGGAAAAATCCAATTGCCATTAAATTAGCCTCCTGGAAATTGCCATCAGGCTGGTGTCTGGCATATACAAACTTTTTTTGCAGTATGTCTTTGTGGTTAGTGACCTTTACAAGCTTTGTTCACTTGGTGAATTTTGTGTTTTAGGAAGAAATGTGAATATATTTGACTAAGCTACAGTTACTATAACACTCTGAACATACGTATTTGTGAGTAGTATCAAGTTTCAGGGATAAAATTTAACATTAAACAATGACCAAATTTGAATCATTCACCACCCCAGCTCTGGCAGGGGCACTTCAGTCTTTGATGGAGTTGGAAAGCGTAGCTCAGTCTCTTAACTATTTATTTTAACCATAGGTATTTTTTTTTCATTGCGCTGATAAAGTACTTCTTGTCCCATGTGCCTTTTGGCCTGTTAACATTTTGCAGCAGAAACTAGAGAGCAGATTAAGAGTAGCTCAGGGAGAAACTGAATACTTTAAATTAGGCAGTGTACAACACCTCCTCTTGGGACGTGGAAAAAAAATGAGGGGTTTAAGAGAACACTGCTAAGTTAAAGACAATAGTTGTCTTGATTTTTATAACAACGTTTTGATTTTCTTTAAGGTCTAAGAATTAAAAAATAACTATTTCCTTTTAATTCTTAACAATCTTGCTTAGTTTTCCTATTCTAGTAACAAAAACAAACGAGTTTTGTTTTCATGTTTTTGTGCTTTGGAGTAGCATTGAAATATTTAGCTCGCAAATACCACAGGGGATGCATGAACACAAACAGCACCTGAAGTCTGAAGAAACATGTTTTTTTTCCTTTTGTAACATCTATATTTTGCATACCGGAAGGGAAGTGGGACACCGCGTATGCGTTTTTCTTCAGCATCGCTGTGAACTGCTGTATCGTACTGAAACTCCCCTGTGTTTGGTTCTTTTGAGGGGTCCTTGATCACATAATCGTGATGACAAAAGACAGGAAGTTTCCGCTGAACCAGCTGGGGCAGATCTCACAGAAGTCACCGCAGCTCATTATAGTGAACATGACCAATTTTCCAGAGGTAAGGACACATTACCGAAGGCATTGCGAGGGGAGATAATTACCACGGGAACAAACAGGTCGATGCTGAGCAAAGGAACATGTAGACAAAATCAGTCGAACCTGGCGGGGCTGAGAGCTCTGGTTGGGCTGCGTGCCGCTTCATGGCTGACACAAAACAGAAGCGGTATTTTGCTGCTGACTGCACGGGGCGAGCGACTCTCCGGCCCTGCCTGGCGCACAGAGCATCTCATGTGCAGCGGCACAGGGTCAGGCAAGAGTTACGTGCTGCCCGTAGCGCTGTGATTGCTCTCAGGCTCGTATGCCATACATGCCCCAGCGTGAGGGGTTTGCTCTGGGGACTGGTTTCCCGTCAGTTGGATCTACAAGAGCGGCGCTGAGCGTGTCGCAGACCGGACGCCCATGCTGACTGTGCCCTGCCAGGTCTCCCCATTTCCCGTGCTTTTACGGCACCCAGTAGTCTTCAGCGCACACACACTCTCCGTTGGTTCATCTGAATTACACACGTGGAAGCGATGCTGCGTCTGCCCCGTTGTATTTATGTCATTTCAGTTCCTCATGAAGACGTGGCCATGCACAGAACCAGACGTGTGGCTGAAATAGTCTGTATTTGTGCTGAGGACACCGTCAAACTCCTCTAAAACATGCATACTTATCGCCGGGGCTGGTGACGCCCCCGGAGGGCTCACAGAAGAAGCTGCTGATGTAGCCTACGAGCTTTTGCCAAGCCTCCCTGGCAGCACAAAGCTGAGCCCGTGCTAAGTGCTGTCACAGGGCCTGACTTGGGCACCGCTGAGGGTAGCGAGCTCCTCCCTTGGCAGCGCCTGCAGGTCAGAACCCCGAATTAGGTGCTTTGACCTGCCCTCCGGAAGAGCCGACTTCCCTTAATTTTCTGCAGGAGCCTTCGTTAGACTTGCCCATAAATGAGGCGGCAAATCTGAATCCCACCTCGGGATCAAGCGCTCGTGGTCCCCTGCAGCGGGGTCCGCGGGCAGAGCCAGGCAGATAGCAGCAGTAACAAGCGCGAGGTTAGCTATTCATCCCGCTCCAGGTCTGGAGGTTTGCCAAAGCTTATCTCTATTTATTTTGCAAAGGCTTTCCCCAATTAATTAAGTCAGCAAAGTCTCAGAGGAGGTCAGTGTAAGGCACTTGATGCCTAAGTGTTTCTTACAGCGTATCCAGTGTGTATAATGGCTTTGAAGAATGAAGGCCCCTCATCAGCGAGTGCATCGAGGTCCCGCGGAGTGCCGGAGCTGAGAGGGCCGGGGAAGTCACTCCATGACTTAGCCCATGTCCAAGCAGAAGCTCAGACTAAGAAATGGGCATGTGAGAAATTAAATACCACCGTATATACACCATTGCCTGCATTTGCCTTCTAAGCCAAAGGACCACTTTTCATTTGAACTGGAGCTAAAACTAGTTCTGTCAATGCAGTTGGTTTATACCGTAACTGTTCCATGGATAAATTGAACTCTTTAAAACCATTACAGACACGTTTACCTGATGTCATTATTTACAGCATATAGCCAGTGCTTCATGGCATTGGGAAGCAAATAAGAATTCTTGAAGAGTCTGAGAAAGAAAATAATAATAGAAAAGGACTTGTGGGGCCAAATTCTGTTTGCCCGAGAGTTGAAAAACCAAACAGGACTATGTCTTTTAAGCATAGCTATTTATTTCATGGGCTGCAAGAGGACGGAGGCAATATTGCAATGTTTTCCCCTTCCTCTATCCCCTCCAATATGTATGTTAAACAACACAGCTTTTGCTGCGCATTTCCTTCCTAAAGAGCAAGCACTGTCCATAGAATAACACGTTTACATTCCTAACGTGCTGAGATCATCTTGGTTACATTTTCTCTGCCCTTGTTGTGTTCTGGAGGACAGCAGTTATGTCCTGCAGAACACTAGCACAGCTTTCATTTTGCTCAGTGATGTCACACGTTGGAGACCTAAACAAATATGCAGAGCTTTATTTTGTGCCTCAGTTGACAAAAGCTGAACTTCATAAATACAGTCTACTGCAGCAGCCCGGAGCTAAACTTAATGATGTGAAAGAGTATCAGAAATAGCAGCGTGCCTTGTAGGAAATGCCACGCGAGTGCCACAAGAATACAGACTCGCTCTGTCTTGTTACTGTCAATGTCAAGAACGAAGCGACCTGGCAGAGCGCTGCGGGAGCTCCCGGGAAAACTCTGGTTTGACCGTAAAGGCTGACACTGTGTGAAGGGACACCAGCGCTCCGGGAAGGGCAAGGAAGCCCTTTAACCGCTTCGCAGTTCCCAGGCAAACCTGCGCACCCCACCTTTTAAGCAGGGCAGAGTGTCAGCCAGCGGTGATGGAGTTCTGAGAAGTTAATCCTAAGTAATAAGCTGTAAAATAAACATAGAGTTGGGCACAGGCGCTATTTCTCAGCCAACTGCTACTGCCCTGCTGTAATGTGGTTAGGTCGTAGTGCTGAAGTGGTTAAGTTAGTTAACGTTTCTAAATTGGCACTGTGTGATTTCTAGTGGGAAACATTCAACTGGAATTTTTAAATGCTCAGAATCTTTCATCTCCTTCACCACAGTCAGGCTATGCCTTGGGAATTTATTGCGGTTTCACTCTGCGTTGCCTCAAACCATTCAAATAGTTTCAAAGAAGCAAAACAGTTTTCTTTTGTTGTTGCTTTGCTTCCCTCCCCCTCTCCCCCCTTCGTGCCCCCCTACCCCGATGCCGAGCGCGGCCGGAGTTTCCCATTCGGTTTGATCAAAGCTCTCCGCACCAATGTAACTTCCTGATCTTACTGGTAACAGAAGTAAATGTTTCCATGTTCCATGGAGATGGATTGCCAACTATTGACAGAGTTCTGGCATATGGGAATGATTATTTCCTAATTCCCTTTACCTTTTGATCTGTTTTACAGAGCACAGCTGCGGCTATGAAGGCTATAAGGGAGAGTGGCATGAACCTGAACCCAGAAGTGGATGGGACAATAATTCGGGTGCCGATTCCTAAGTGAGTATGGATGGCTGTCCGAGTTCATCGTCATGCAGGGTAATGCAGGAGGTTGCAGTGAGTGCCCTTCAGAGGGCAAGCGCACACGATTGCTGCAACGTCGTGATGCAGCTGCTTTCCAAGTAGCTATATTTCAGGTTCAGAAGAAAATCTGACTCCCTAAAAGCGTCTGGTGGAAGCTCTTCCAAGTGTCTGAGCTCTACATCACCACATTTTGGCATCTGATGGTTGCTCTTATTGTTCTTGATCTTCCCCCTGCAGAGGAAAGTTGGTCCTAGCTGGCTGCAGCACTTCGCATGCGGCAGCTAAAGCCTTTTGAAGCTGTATTGCCTTAATTCGGGGGCTGATTCTTTGCTGCCCTGCTGTGAATTCCTTGAGTTAGAGCAGCGTAGAGCAGCAGTAATGCAGTAGCGAGCCAGTAGTGTTGGGGGTGCTTAGTCAGTGCTTCGGTTTGGCTCAGGAGAGCGCTTTTGAAGCGAGTCCCCTGACGATCCCCGCTTTGCGTGTTTTGGGCTGCAGCACGCTGGGGTTTACACCCGTGAACAGGATTCCTTTCAGATGAAACTAAGCAGAGAGGTACCCTCTGGGAGCACACCGAGTGCTCCCCCACTGCTCACACGTGTTTGGTCCCCGGGACCAGGCTGGACCTTGTGCGGAGCGAGAAATCCCAGCAGCTCCGCTCGGACTGCGCAGCGCACCTCGCCAGCGCGGGCACAGCCTGGGTGAGGGGCAGTAGCGCTGCTCGGCCCGGGTTTGGGTGGTGGAAGGCAAATTCATCCCTGTAGCGATGGCGCCGTCTAAATACCCCGGGCAGATGCGGGTGTACGTGGTCTCGGGCCCCGGGGTTACGTGGTGCTCTGAACTACTCCCACAAAGGGTGAAGGCGGCTCCGCGCACTGCCTGTGCACAGGAGCACCTTGCACGTGCGCCGCGTTGTACGAGCAGGTGACTTCTCGGTAGAGGTGAACCAAGTCTTCCTCGCGCTTTAGGTCTACTTTAAAGATTCTATGGAATTTTACGTAGCATTTTGATCAGAGAAGTCTAATTGCAGCTTTCCGTTGCTGTCGGTGAGAGGGAATGACATTATCATTCTATTTGCTGATTTTCTTTTCCCCGTGCTCCCTGCCCTTCCCCCATTCCTCAGGAGAGGAGGCAGAGGAGGAGGAGGGCACCATTATCTTCATAATTGCTGAGGCTCCTGGGTTGCTGCACAGTGGTTTGATTGTTAATGGGCACTTGGGTCATCCTTGAATATGAATTGCAGGGGAGGAAACTCCGAAACTGCAAATCCCAATCTTTAAAAAAAATACTGTTTTTTAAACAAATGTGTACACTATCTTTTTCAGTGCTGCAGAGCAAAGATGGGTCTTCTCTCCCCGGGAGAGATCTGCCTAATGTGCGCCCTCGTTCCTCAGGTGCGGAGGGGTCGCTGCTCCGGGCCCCTCTCTCCCCGGCTGCTTGGCAGCCCAGGGACTCCCCAGTAAAGAGGTTTTCGGTCTGGCAGATGTGCCCTGCAGGTCTGCCCCCACGGGTGTTTGCTCACCCCCTCTTTAGTAACGGGACTGGATCTTTTAGAGGCTCATCCGCTCATCAAAACAACCAGCAGACACTTTCAACCTTTGAAAACCTAATGCAAAGGGAGGCAGAAATAAGCAAATGCTGCTAGCGACCTCTCTTTAGTATTATATCCCTGAGTTACTTTTTCTAATTTTCCAAAGCTTTTCATTTTCCCAGCACTCTAAAGATGTTTATGAAATATTATATGGCAGGCAGATGCAGTGAAATTGCCAAAGTTATGGCAGGTGTGCAAAGTGAGCAAACAAATCAGAAATTAAGAGACAATATTGTTTCTGCAGAAGTTGATTCTTTCGTGAGGGGAGGCGCAATAAAAGTAAAATCAAACCTGAATTGTCCTTGACTGTTATTAAAAACACTTTTTAGTCTGACCTATCAGCTGGACGCATATCATCATATGTTGCCTCACGCAGCTCCAGCTACGCTTCAGTGCTTGGGAGTGTTTCAACTGAGCATTTTAAAATGGAGTTTACTTTTCAGTATTTATTCTGTTAGTTTAGTTTTTGCATTGCAGTTTTAACAGAAAAAGTACACTCATTTCTTTCGTGTTTATTTCTGCTTCCTGCTAGGATCCCCTCTGCTCCCTAAGGCATTCGCCTGTTTGTGTTGCTAGCACTGCATAGGCAATATTTATTTGTATAAAAAGTATTCTCTGAGGGTTTAAAAAAAAAGAAAAAAAAAAAAGAAAGAAAACCAGCCATGGGAACACTTGTATTGGTTGATCTCTTGGCCGAATTTGACCTGACCTTGTGTCTTTTATGGTATTGCCTCATTTTTAGATTCATCTTTTTTGGACCCATTGTGTTACACTGGATATTGTTTGTAAATCAGTAATATTTTTACACATGCTTTACTGAAAGCCAGATGACTCATTTGAAAGTTTAATGACTCATTGTGAGCTTTTTTTCCTTTGCCCTTTAAGAAATATGCAAAGATACCTACTGTGGGGAGAAAGGACTCAAAAAAATTCGCTTGAAAAAAACAAAGCTGTTTGTGAGCTGCGTTGCTCTGGATCGCTCATCATCAGAAGTCTCTTGCATGCTTTTTTTGAGCAATATACGTTGCACCCTATGTTTATCTGCAATTATGCATGCAGAGTATCTAGTTAAGCCTACTTTCCTTTAACTGATCCCTCTCCTTCACAGGAAATTCCTAGCATTTGAGATACAGAAATTACTCTTGCCCGCATAAAGGTCTTGTGTTGGAGACGAGACGTGGCGGGTGTCGCGCTCGCTGCAGGTCTGCTCCTGCCGTGCGCGGGGAGAGGAGCATCGAGGGCTGCAGTGCTTAAGCCACTGCTTGCTGGTGGAAGCAGAAAAAGAGGAGACCTTACCTGTGGGGCGGTGTGCGTTTCGGAACACCCTGGCAGGTCAGTCCCCGGGCTCTGTCCTCATCCTGGCCGGGCAGGACCGTCCCCGGGGGAACAGCAGGAGTTGAGCCCACTGCTGCTTGAGCCGCACGGGTGAGCGGCGTTCCCCCGGGGGAGAGGGGAAGGGGCGACAGGCGGGGACCTTGTCCTCGTTCCCCACTTCTAGCACCCCTTCCCCAGGTTCATTTCACACTTTTTTTTGTCTTTAGAGAGGGTAGGGAAAATGGTTACTAGACAGAAAAGAAAACATATCTAAGAACAGCTTAAAAGTCCCAGATCTGGGGGCAGGATTAAACAACTGTCCTTAGAAACCGTGGGCCTGGCTTGTGTTGATGGATTCCTTAACCAGAAACAGCATCTGCTTGAAAAAGCGTCCGTTTCTGGCATTGTTGGTAGCATTGCTGAGAATTTACACACAGTCTGGCTGGAACATAAAACCCGCTGAGAAACTCCACGGCACTGCGCAGTGATAAAAAGAAATTGGTGTTAATAAAGACAGACAAGGAGGCATGAAAGCTGTGACCCCGTGCCAAGAAGCATAGGAAATCTGGCAGCGCTGCATAAACAAAAACATTTCCTTAAAGGCTCGGCAGCCCCGAGCAGGCGAGTGATACCCTCGGCGCAATTCGCAAAAGCTGAGCGGGAGCGGGGAGGCGAATAGCTGACAGCGAGCTCGGTCTCCCACCGCTGAGGCAGCCCTGCCGCGCACCGGCTCGCCTCGCCACCCAGCAGGAGACGGGAGAGATTTCCAGCTCCCTCCTCCAAGTTTAGCAGCCGGGATTGACTCCCTGCCCCTCCCCCCTCTCAAAAAAACCCCCAAAAAAAGCTGCCTGAGAATCTGACCTCACCCAGACCTCTGTTTCTGCGCCGGCTTTGCTGGTTTCGCATATGCTGTGGGACCTGTGGCTGGGGAGATCGAACTCGAGAAGCCCTAAGGGCATCGGTGTTGGGATGCAGAGGAAACCACAAGTAACCCCGTTCACTTCTAATTAGCTGTTCCGTCCAGGCTCGAGCCTGCGCTGACCAGAAGCCTCTCGCCACATGTGAAATTGGCTGGCCACCTCCCTCCACCCCCCTCGGTGGGGAGCAGGGTGGGCTGGGGGTACCCCGGGAGGGCAGCGTGGCTGCGAGGGGCTGAGTCGCTGCTCTCTGGGTCTGTCAGCTTCCCCAGCAATCCCAGATCCCTGTAATTCCTGAGCAGTTCTGGGAAGCCTATTCCCGCCTGCACCGTGAAGTAAAGATAACCGGCGAGAAGGTATCGGCGCGCGTGCGACTTGCCGGGCTGAGCCCGAGCTGGGGAAGGGCTGAGGGTCTGATCCTGCCCTGACAGCCTCCGCGTAACGCGGACCCTCGCTGCCCTGCCAGCCCTCGCCCCAGGTTTCCTGAGCTCTCTGCAGGAAGAGTCTCGGCCTCGGTGTTTCGGTGACCCAGGCTGTTGCAGCCAATTTCTAAATATGCCTGTGAAATGTTTATTTTGCGATATCTTCTGCGAGCAGACGGGCGCTCTCTTTCTAGCGAGTCTCTGGGAGCGCGCGGGGGTTTTCCATTCTCAAGGTAGTCTGTAAACTTCAATAGCCACGAAAATAATTAACTAGCACTTGATATTGACAGTGATCAGCTGTAGGTGCTGGAGCATGACCAGAGCAGAGGTGACACGTCAGCCATTCTTGTGCCCTATTCAGATGCTCAGACTCCCTCATCACCTGCAGTTTTTAGTTTGGGATGCAAAGTTGATGATTTTCTTTTGGCACCACAGGAGTAATTGACACCATGTCAGGGGGAGGTGGAGCTGAAGTTCTCCTGGGCCGTTACCCATGGCTGTACCGAGCCACATCTAGCATCATCTTCTTGTCAAACCGGGTGTTCACATCATCTTGGTGGAAAAAAAACTGGTTGTGATGAGCTGGAATAAGGTTGAGTGAAACATAACCTCTGTAGCTTCCAGATATATCCTTCAGGCTCTTCAGTTGCAGGGAGACGATACCGAATTTCAGGAAAGGAGAGAGGTTTCCTCCCGGCTTTGCAGGATTACACTTTTCAGCTCTGTCTCTCAGGTCTGGAGCTGGATTCTCCCTCTTTCCCACAGATGCTTTGGCAGCAGAAAAAAGGAAAGTCTGAACATTTCAGCATGAATTTCAGGCACTGCAGTGACAACTATAAAACAAGTAAGATTCAGTCCAAGTCCCTCAGCTTAGGGCTGTGCTGGGAACTTTCCATTCCAGGCTCAAGACTTGCTTCACTGGGATGTGCTGCCCTGTTGGTGCTGCGCCGAGGTGGCTGATGCGCTCAGGTGGACCAAAGCAGAATAAAAACACACCCTGAGCTGTTAAGTCCCTCTGCCCTTGCGACGTAGGGCCTCCACACAGAGCGAGCTCTGTCTTAACACAGGCGGCTTTTGGGTGTCCGTGCGCAGCCCGGCTCGGCGCTGCGTGGCAGCTCTGTCTAGGTCAGTCGGAGAGGAACCGCAGCGGAGAGGATCGCTGCATTTACCCACAGTCCATCGCAGAAAATAAGTCTGGCTGTGCTACATGTGACACTGTTTTTCCTTTTGATGTTTTTTCTTTCCCCTCGCTGCTAGGGTGACAAGGGAGCACAGGGAGAGCCTGGCCAAGCTTGCCAAGCAGTCTACCAACAAGTCCAAAGAGGCCCTGAGAAAGGTGCGAAGCAAAAGCATCAACCAGGTAAAGAAGTTCAAGAACAAAGTATCTGAAGATACCATCTGGCTGCTAGAAAAGCAGGTAATTTTTTTTTTTTTTCTTTCCTTTCTGCCATACCGTGATGTTTCCAAGCTCAGTGGTGTGTTTGTGCCAGTTCTTGCTGGCAAATCTCCGGCACTGAGAACCCGCCTGGGGAATGAGCGGCCCTGAGCTGAATTTTTGGAGTCGGCACTGGCTGTTGTAGTTGCTTTTTCTTTGTGAGATCTCAAAGCCAAATTTTTGATATGAACCATTGTAAGCTGACATAGGAGAAAAAAATGTTCCCCAAAAGCTTTCGTACTATGAGCGATTGTTGCACAAACCAGCTGAACTTGGGGAGCAAAACGACCCACATCCATAGCTTTACCAGCATTTACACAGTGCCTGGCCACTGCACAACAGCTGGTGTTAATGAGGATTGCTCCAGTTTGTTATTAATGAAAAGGCTAGCGAGATTATCTCTGTTAGGAGTTTTTGGCTCCAATTCAGGAAAATACTTAAGCACATGCCTAATTCCCTAAGAGCAGATGTCACTAAAGTCAATTACTTGGGCATAAACTCAGGCACAAGCCTAAGTGTTTTGCTGAATTGATGCCTCTGAAGGCAGGCCATTACTTTTTAGCTGTTTGTTTATTAACAGCTAAAGTTAGATACATTGCAAATGCTTCGGGACAGTTCTCTGTGTGCTCACAAAAATAAACATTGATATACAGAGCATTTGTGCAAGCAGGAAAAATGGCCATGCTATTGTAACTGAATCCTGTTGGGAAGCAGTTCTCCCAGAGCAGACAGATGGTTTTCTGCATGTGTAGAGGTACCGTCTCAAGTCTAATTTTTGCCTGTACCCAAATTTTTCAGCATGGGGAAAGGTCATCGTCATATACTCCAGACCTTGGGAGTGAGTGCGTCTTAATCAGTCCTGTAGAACTAGTGCATAAACCCCCGCAGTGTGCTCCAGCCTTTGTCTGCACTCACTCTAGTAAGTGCACGCACGTTTTGGTGCCATTTACATGCTTGCTGTATCCGTACCTTCTTACCAGGAGGAGACCTGATTCCTGGGCAGGGCTTTAACAATTGGCATTTATTTCTTTTTATAAGAAATAAACAGACCTGTTTCTTGGTCTGTGAATTCTTAGTGTATAGCAGGAGCACAGCCCCAGTATTACCTATTTTGGCTATTATTAGGACTTCAGGCTTTGTTTCAGGCGGTGATCCAATCACTCCTTTCCCTTTAAACTCTGGCATCGCCTAGCGCGCCACTCAGACTTGTCCTGTGTTGCCACAGATCCAGCAAATGGCAGACAGCGCCGCAGCGGAGATGGACAAACTGCTGGCAGCAAAGACCAAGGAGCTGCTTGGATAAGCGCCATCCACGATGGACACACTCCCCCCTCGAGCGAGAACAGACTGCCGTGCACCCCGGCCATCGCTGCCCCGAGTCAGCAGCGACGGGCAGGGGGGGCTCTGCCGAATCTCCAGAGCAGCTCTGTGCTTTGGCTGCTCCAGTTCCCCACCTTGGACTGTGCTGGAGGGAGGGGGGACCTCTCTTCGCTGTTCCTCATCCAGGTGGCAACAGAATCGGGTGAACGAAGATTAAAAATAGAACAGCAGGAAGGAGGACGGGAGGCTGCTGGAAGGGCTCCCACGCGAAAGCTGAGGCGCAGGAGGAGGGGGTGCCCTGCTGGCCTTGCACCCCAGCCCGGTGGCATCCCAGCGCCTCGCAGCCTGGCGGAAGGGAGAACCACGCGCAGAGCGGAACCTGCGCCGTCCTGCTGTGAACCTGAGTGTTTCTTTTTGCTTAAAATAAAAGTCAAAATGAGATGCAGAGGAGTAACCTTGGCCCGGTTCCTGGTTGGTGTTGTCTCCTTGGGTTCGTGTGTCCCAAAAGAAGCATTTGCCCGTTGCCATGGCCAGCAGAGCGACCTGCAGCCTGGCCACCGGGAAGGCACAAGGGAGCTCAACACCGCCTGGTGCAGGGTGGGCAGGGGAGGTGGCCTTTGTGGTTCCCTAAGCTTCCTGGACAGAGAACTGAAACGAGTGCTGCCAGCACGGCTGCTTTAGCCAGGATGGAGAAGACCAAAAGCCAACACAGGAGCTTTCAAAAACCAGTATCTGCCCTCCCCGACTAGTTACAGCACGCCCATGTGAGCCACTAGCACCACATTTTAGGAGGTGAAGGAGATAGAAACAGAATGGGGTCCTGAGCACATCACACAGCTCAACTCCTCACCGCCAGCAGGTACTTCGTGACAGCAGCAAAGGGCCTCCCCGCAGCCCGGGGCGATGGCCAGAGGAGGGACGGTGGTGGCCAGCACCGCAGCCCCGCTCCCAAGGCATTTGGGTTCAAAGAGCACCAAGTGCTCTGCAGTCCTTAAATAAACAACTCCCAAAAAGTTAGTTTGTGTGCAGTGGGGAGGGGGAGGAGGATGAAGGATTTGCTCTGCTAGGGCCCCACATGTCAACAATTTCTCTGCTTTGTGTATTTTGGCCAAAGCGCTTACCATGATAAATGAATAAAGGAAAATGGCGAGCCCAGGGCGGTTACATGGCTCGGTAAATTGCTTTCAGCTGATTACTGTATTTCTTTTGACATTTATCAACTAGGCTTTTTTTGCTGTTGTTGCAGCCTCAGCATCTCAGCCACAGCCGGGGCTTGAAGGGTTTCCCTGGTACATGCCCGGCAGCGGCGGCCGCCGAGTTGGGTGTTTCTCTAAGCCGGGGCAGGTGGAGGAGCTGCTGCTGGCTCAGGCGCAGGCAGGGCTGGGGCTGCCCACGGGCGCTTCTCCGGCCCCGTGCCGGTCTCCAAGCCTTTGAGGCATTAGTGATGGGGCGATGGAGGTCTGGGCTGGTGGAAATGGGCGGTGGAGCTGCAGGGGGTCATCGCATGGAGGAATTTCCCAAGTATTTACTGGTATTCCTTACCCTGTAGCATCTCACATGAATTAAAACCTAGTGGTACCACTGCACCAGCCCTGGGCTAGGGAAGGAGCTGCCCATCCCCAACACAGTCGCCTGTCCCCAAAGCGGCTGTGCCCTGTGCCTTTGGGCAGCAGCAGGACGGGGTGCAGGGCTGGCTGCGCTGGTGAGGCAAAACCAGGTGCAAAAATAGTTTTTAAACCTGAAGAAAAGCAGAGACCTGTTGTCCAAGTGACTGCAGGTGATGGCAGTGGGGAGGGGGGGGAACAACTTTGGGGAACCCATTTGCCTGTGTCCTCACTTCACTCCCCACCGTGCTCTGCATCAGACAGGACCACTCCGCTCTGCATCACCCCAGTACCAGCCACCCCCACCTGCCACGGCCACAACACAGACACCCACCGAGGGCTGCTACAAACCACCCAGGAGAAAAGAGGACAGACATTCACTGTGCTTACTGTGACCGCGGCTGGCACACGGGGTGGCTCTGGGCTGGTGCCGTCTCCTTTTTTCTGCTCAAATCCCCTGCTGTTCTGGGGCTTCACAGCAGGAGCTGCAGCACAAGAACTGCC